CAAGTGTGAGAATCTGGCCTTTTGGTTTCTGATAGTATTGCTGGATTTGTGGGAAGTGAAACTAACTTGAGGAGTGCTACCGTTCAGTCAAGCCTGGGTTGCACAGCCAACCTTTGACCACATTTTGAAGCTTAGTTGTGTGTTTGCAAATGAGTAGAGGAAAACTAATATTTAAAGAAGAAAAGCCTGAATGCTCACAAAAGCTTTGGCTTTCATGTGTTTTACAATGGGGTTTTTACACCCAGTCCGCTTACAAGTAAATCACTGCACCACTGGGAAGAAGTCTTCGATGTGTCAAGGCACATGCCAACTCCCTGCATGGCTTCTACTTGCTTTTACTCTCTGGGGCCTTTCAAATGGAGGTAAAGTGTTGGTAATACCTTTGGATGGGAGTCACTGGCTGAGCATCAGTCCTGTTCTGGAACACCTTCAGCAGAGAGGACACCAACTGGTAGTTGTTGCCCCAGATGTAAGCTTGTGGATCAAGCCGTCTGTATATTACACAATGAAAACATTTGCTGTACCTTACTCGGTGGAATACATAAAAGCAGAATTTCAAAAGCTTGGCCACAAGATTTTTACACACCGACCTTTCTTGGCAAGGATGACTGAAATGCCTGCAAGAATAAGAAATATTACAATGCTTCTCTTCAATAATTGCAAGCTGCTTTTGCATGACAAAGAGCTGCTTACTTACCTGGAAGAAAACAGATTTGATGTCGTTCTTATGGATCCAGTGTCTCCATGTGGACTGTTCCTGGCTGAGTATTTATCTCTTCCTTCCATTTACTACTTACGTGGAATACCGTGTGGCTTAGACTTTGAGGCAACTCAGTGTCCAGACCCACTTTCATATGTCCCCAAATTCTTCACAGGCAATACAGACCACATGACATTTTATCAGAGGGTGAAGAATTGTTTGGTTGGCTTGTTGGAATTCATGACATGCTCTTTTTTGTATTCACCCTATGAAACCCTGAGCAAGGAATTCCTGCACCGAGACATGACGGTATCAGAGCTTTATAGCAAAGCATCCATTTGGCTAATGCGCTACGACTTCGTGTTCGAATACCCCAGACCCATCATGCCCAATATGGTCTTTATTGGGGGTATAAATTGTGCAAGAACAAGTAATCTAACTCAGGTTGGATCCTTTTTCCAATTGCATATATTTTTCAAAGCTTAATCTTAAAAAGTAGAAGGGATTAGGGTTGAGATATTTGAGTAAATGAAAAAAATTAATGGCAAATAACCCCTTGACATATTTCAGGATTAAGGGAAGCATTGTGATCACAGGCAACACATTAAAAAGAAACACCTGGCAGCTGCCTTCATGCTCATACAGATCCTACTACCTTGATGCCTAATCCCGTGACAGGGCTTGGAGAACTCCCTTAATTTATATGAGGAGAGGAATGCTGAAGGACCCAATTCTTGCCAGTGTCCAGGATGGAATGTGAGCCTGAGTGGGCCATTAATTAAATCCAGGACACTTGATTTTTTTCTTTTATGAGCTGAAGTATATTACCGTATTTTTCTGTGTATAAGATGATACTTTTTCTTAAAAATATTTACCTAAAAATGGAGGGGTGTCTTATACATGGGGGGGCCAAGAGGAGAACTGTGGTTGCGAAACTGCCAATACCTTATCTCTGCAAACTAGTCTCACAAGCGAAACTTCTGATTGCAGAGACAAGCTAACAGGTTTCTTCCAATTATGAGCCTTATGGAACTGACGTCAGCTGATGCTGTGGAGAGCGTGTGGCCCAGGGATCCTCAAACTTTTTCAACAGGGGGCCAGTTGAAAGGCGGTGGCGGCAGGTGTGGACACTCTGTGTGGGGAGACGGGCACGATTGTGGGCATGTGTGCGGGGAGGTGGCATGCGTGGCAAGGCAGCAGCTTGCTTGCTCGGAGATCAGTAAGAAAAGTGGGAGGTGCCCTATACACGGGGGTGCCTTATAGACGGAAAAATACGGTAGCTCTTTAAGAACATGTCAGCATGACCGAATTTTAATCTACTGTGCGATGGTACCAGAACTGTAGTTAAATAATGCTAAGGTTCTAACAAAGCAGTATTGGGAAGTTAGAGTCAACACCATTGCAATGTAGAATTTAGCCATGCTGTAACAGGCTTGCGGTTATAATGATTAAAATATATGCAAGTTCTGAGAGCAGCAGAAAGAAAAATAGCCCCCCTTTTATAATTCTGGGTGGCTTTGTTGAACTAGAACGCTCATGGCAATCTGGCACTCCTGAGACTTGATGAGTGAGCAGGATGGGGCTGGGCAGTGGGGGAAAGTGGCTGAGATTCACTAACTTCCATCTTTATCACCAGAAAACCACCCTAAAGCAAGCCTTGAGGGGTGGCACCTGGTGTTGGACCACAGAGACGGGGGGGGGGGGGGCATGCTGGTGGTGGACCCCACCCCCCTCCCTGCCCAGCAGCTGCCCTGACCGAGTTGGCAGAGGAAGTCTCAAGTGTGCCATTAGCAGAACCCGGGACGATGATCCCATGCTGAGGCTGCCTCTGGAATGCCACCAGCTCAGAACTTCTTGGCCTCCATGACATCTGTGCGCTGTCTCAGTTGCTCATTAACCCAAGATACGAAGCAAGGCATTCCCTTGAGTTGGTCTTTGCTTGAAGCTGTGAAGTCTGAAAATTGGTGCAGTGGGAGCAAGAGGGGAATAATTCCATTGCCATAGTCAGATCATTTCCTGGAGAGGTTTGAACCAGGGCATTGTTTCTTTCCTGCAGGGGTGGGGGCCCCATTCAGGTGCCCTGCCCCAGGAGACTGATGCAATCTGATGGATTTCTAATGGTCCACCAGCTGTTAATGCCCTTCCCAGTGAATGGGGTCCTGGCCCCTCAAAGACCTGCTGTGATCTGTTTGCATTGCATTTTGAGGATATCTTTGCCTCTCCCCACAGCAAACTTGCTAGCACCACTCCAGCTGAGGTGTGTAACATTGTCCATAAGGTGCTGGAGAGAGTTGTGGTGCAGCAATCTTGGAGGATACCATTTATGCAGGCCCATTTCAGTCTGGCTTGCGACCTGGTTATGGACTGAATCAACTTTTACTCTCAGAGGGACAACGGGAGTGAGATCCTGCTAATTCTACTTGCTTTCTCATTAGCTTTTGGTACCAGCAGCCACAGCTTCCTCCTGGAGAGACTCCTTGGGTTAAGTGTAGGAGGTACCATGTTCCAGTGGTTCTGGTCTTAGCTGTGGGGAACTTCAGGGAATAATGCTGGGAAAGATTCCACAGCGTACCATCCTATCCCCAGTGTTACTTAACATCTATATGAAGCCAAGAGCTGTGTTCATTAACATCTGTGCAACCAAGTGCCCTCTGTTTGCTGAAGACACACAGCTCAGCTCTGCCTCCCTGTGGCAACTGAATCAGGAGAGACTGCGCAAGCCTTGGTTCAGTGTCTGGACTCAGTGATGGGCTGGATGTGGGCCAATAAACTGGAGCTGAGTCCTGGCAAGGTGGAAGTCCTGGGAAATGTGCTGTCACACCCATTTTCTGCTTGTAGAGCTGATTTGCCGCTACGTGAACCAAATGCTAGACTAGAGGTACCGTTGCTCTGATCCAGCGTGGCCCGTCTTTGGTTCTGGGTGGGGTTGCAGCCCCCCTGAAAGATCAGGTGTGCTGCCTGGGGGTAGGGTTGGGACAAACCCTACTGGAATCCATCCCTCCAAGGATTCATGGGCTTCCTCTTACGCTCGAGCCAGTCCAGCAAAGCAAGCTGAGCCAAGAAGTCTACAAACCCTCACAGGCCCCAGGTTGGGCAACTGGCAACTTTTGGCATCAGCTGCAGCTGCCCAAGCAACAGCTGCCTTTGCAGTGTGAGGGGGCCCTACTAGTGGTTGCAGGGTCTCCTTTCCTGGCAGGCCTCTCACGACCAGCCTTCTTTGCCATCAGTCACAGCCACTCAAACAACAGCTGCACTTGCAATGGGAGAGGGGTGCTGGTTGTGCGGCACACAGGCCTTGATTCCACTCAAGGGCTCTGTGGATGCCGGGGGCACTTGCTAGGAACTTGGACTCTTGGCTGCTGCAAAGTAGACCAGAGTCCAGGGAGTCAAGCCCAGGGAATCCAACAGATCCCCACTCCCAAATAGATTCCTCACACAGCCCGGCCTGGGGGATACTCTTAGACCTACCACTGTTGCTGGAGGTCCAAGTGATTGCAACAGGCGGCATGTCTTATACCATCACTGGTTGATTTGTCAGCCGTGGCTCTCCTGGACAGGGATAATGTGGTGGCAGCAATACAAGCTCTGGTAGCCTGAGGACCAGCTTACTGCAATACGCTCCGTGTGGAACGGCCTTCGAGGTGCTGTGGAAGCTGGAGCCAGTGTAGAAGGCAGCAGCTTGGCCGAGGTCAGGACGGGCCTTCTTGGCATGCAGCTCCCTTGCTGAAGGCACTGCAGTGCTTGCCCTGTCATGGCTGAGCCAGGCCCCACCTCGGGAGGTCTGGGAGCAAAACCGCTGTGCTCCATTTGCTCGCTGACCACTCATGGCCTTCATGTTCTCTTGTTTGCAATGGATTCTTTTTACTGTTTTATCTTTGTACTGTTAACTTCTCCAGAATTTCTTTGGGTGTGGGCAGTATACAAATTCTGTAAGTAAATAAATACATAAAATACATAATATTTTAAAAAATAACTCTACATTTACCTTTGGATTAGAGTGAAACATGCTCTAATGCTTAACTAAGAATAATATGGTAACATACTATTATACTGTAATTCATGTTTCAAGATCAGTAGTACAGTTTTTTTATTCCTAAAAGTGGTACAATTATATTGATTTCTGTACATTATTCATAATATAACAGAGGAAACCCCTTGCTCCAGAAATGTTTAACCACCAATTGTTACTTGCTTCCCAGCTTCCTGTCAAGACTACAGAGACCGCTTAAACTGAAAATGGGCCCAGGTTATGTGAGATATATGAAACAAAGAATTTTAACTGCAGCCTAATTTTTTGTAGGAATTTGAAACCATAGTGAATAATTCTGGTGAACATGGCATTGTGGTGTTTTCCTTGGGCTCAATGATCTCTGAAATTCCAATGAAAAAAGCGATGGAAATTGCTGAAGGATTGGGAACAATACCTCAAACGGTAAGAGGAAGAAGAAGTTATAACATCTGCTTAGGATATTGATTTAGTACATTAAGCACTGGGGTCCAGCATGGATGTGTCACACCTGGTTGTAGGAATGAATCTTCAGCTGCAGTGGCTTCTGCAAGGTAAGCCCACATTTCTGTGGAATAACTCTCAGTGATGGGCACAGCCCTGTACCAGGATCAAACCAAGCCTGCAACTGGACCAGAATGCAATGGGAAGCTATTCACATGCAGGAGTCTAGAAATAACGACACCGTAATTTGACACCACTGCTGGTGCAGAACTACTCCAAAGCAGCAGAGGGCATGGCTGCCATGACAGCACTTCAGTTGAACAACATGTGGACAGTTTCCCGGCAGTTGTCATGTTGGGGCGTGCCAGGTAAAGTAGTCAGGGCTCAAGAAGGCTCCTACACCGTGACGTTCTCCTGGCAGTATCTGACAGGTCCTAAATGTGAAAATGTCTTTCGTTTGGAAGCTTGGTGTCACGAATGGTTTGCAGTAGCCCCAGTGCTGAAAACTGTGTTGCTCTGTCTAGCTGTTGTCATGCCACTTCATCTCAGATAACACTGACTAACTCATTTCCTCAAATTGGGGCGCAGGTGGGCTGTATAAGTAATGGTGGTTACCTGAAGGTTGAAAACATGAATACTAAGGTTGATCACAGTATAAGAAAGTCAGCTTGGTCCTTTTCCTGCTGGAATTCTGAATGGAAAGAATGACAGAACGGAAAAATATTCCCAACCAGTGACAGCCCCTTCAACATGCTGCTTGGGCAATCTGAATAGGTTGTCAGTGGCTGTTAAAACAAAGATTGTGAAAGCCGTTTGTCAGGCTGGGTTTCACCATCTCTGGAAAAACCGTTTCAAGCCAAACAAAGCTGCAGCAAGCTGAACGTGGCTTGTGATCATGTCAGGGAGGGGAGAAAATGGTTCCCGTCTCAGTGCTCCCTGGGATACCAGTGGGCGGAGCAAGGGGGGAAGGGATACATTGATGAGCTCAGCCTTCCCTCTGGCGCATTCTAGGCCATTCACAGGAAGATCAGCCCAGGGCAGCTTATCGTTTGTGTGGATGGCCATGGCATGCGAGTGCACCTTGCATTGGCCAACTTTAGAAAAAAGGTTAGAATTTATTCTGCCTTTTCCAAAGCTGGCAACCACAGAGTCCCAGTTTGTGGGAGATTATAGCCGATCAGCAATCTGGTTTTAACCAGGTGGAAGGGAAAAGAGAGGTCAAAATGCCAGTGCCCATTCTCTTCAGCCCTCCTGGCATGGGCCGTGCAGGAGACAAGTCCAGGGATCCTGGGGAAGTGTATCTGGCACTAGTGTGCGTGCATTCGCACAGACGGAAGAGACATGCTACTTCATGCCTGTTCTGTGTTTTCTCACCCACAAAGGTGCTGTGGCGGTACACAGGAGCAGCTATTCCCAACCTTGCCAACAACACCAAGGTGGTCAAGTGGCTTCCACAGAACGATCTGCTTGGTATGTCTGGGCCATTAATCATGCTGCTGCCTCGAACTGGCACTGCTTCTGTCCCCCTGAGGAGCACCGCCCATCTGCCCCAAGGAAGAGGCACCTGAGCCCCTGTGCCTGGCAGCTCCCGGTCACCCTGTGCCTGGACCAAGGCCTGCTGAGGCAGCCTCTGCCGCTGCTGCCCCCTGTGCCGGCCTTTTCCCCAGATGGCTGTTTTGCCATCTAGATTTAGGGCAGGTAACGGGGAGGGAGGGGATTGGGGGTGTCCGCTGGCACTGGTAGGGGCCTGTGGCCCCAGCCTTCTCTCCTGCCTATGCCCCAGGCACCCCCCTTTCCCTGGCCAAGGCTCTGTTGTGGCTTTGGGGAGTGGGCAGCTGGTGCAGTTCCACCCACCCCAGCTGTGGGGGGTGTCAGTCTTCAGAGCCCACCCATCTAGGTCAGAAGACCTCTGTACTCAGACCCTGAAGAATCCCAGGGCCACCAGTCAAAACTGGGAGACCATAGGATTTTGTCCTAATTACAAAGAAACAAGTATTACTCTGCATCTAAAAGCATCTAAGTAATTACAAAGGTTGTAGAAAGAGAATGAGGCCACGTGGCATTGGATGGACAGTTTCTCAGGCTCATTCTTATGATACACACTCACAAAGACCTATAGTTCTGGCCAGCTGTGTCAGTGAGTAAAATCATAGATGCCAACACCCTGTATATCCCATGGATTGTTGGGACATTCTCTCCCTTGCAACAGGCCATACCGCCTGAGTGTGGATAATGCAGTGAACTGTACCAGGGCAGCGACTATGGAGACTGCGCTGTGCCTGTGTTGCAGCTGAGGTGAGCGGAGCGCATCATGGCCCGAAGAAGTCCCCCGGCAGTTTGGCTTGAATTCCTCCTGCCATCCGTACACAGGCCATTTGGTCCTTCCATCCCATCCCCACACTTGAGCTTGCGCAATAGAGGAAGGTGGCCACGACTGACATATGGCCCCCCTGACCCTCAGGGTTGCTGGCTGTTACCTGAGGTGAAAAGGGAAAGTGGAAGGGGAGAGCATGGTGGAGAGCCTTATCTTTTTACCTGGCTTCTCTGGTGGTCTTTTGGGCTACTGCAACAGGGCAAGTTCGGTACATTTCTGGAGCAGGAGGCCTAGGTGGAGTACAGAGTGGCAGCTTCCTCCAGCCCCACTTCCCCAGCATGCTGTTGGCAGGTATTTCACTAGTCTGTGAATAATATTACAGACCACGTTGGTTTAATTGTATTGCTTTTTTAATTCTGCATTTACTTTGCTGAAACTACATATAACAACATAACTTTGGTCATGTGTGCTAACCCAGATTCATAGTAATTAGCAGCACAATAAACCTGTCTGTTTTCCTCCTTCCATCTCTTCCTCCTTGAACAGCTCATCCAAAAGCCAGAGCTTTTATCACCCATGCCGGATCCCATGGGGTCTACGAGGGGATCTGCAATGCAGTGCCCATGGTGCTGCTCCCCCTTTTTGGAGACCAAATAGACAATGCAAAACGTGTGGAATCTCGAGGCGCAGGCGTGACCCTGAATGTCATTGAGATGACTTCAAAGGACCTCTCTGATGCACTGAAGGCTGTTATTTATGATAAGAAGTGAGTAATGCCCTGCATTTTATTTGTTTACTTACTTGGGGATGCTAAACTGAGGCTAGGCTATGGTTGTTCTCAAGTACATTTGGAATTCAATTCCCGCAATGGGCAAGCTACGAGGTAACAGTGCAAATCCGTCTCTAGCTCCAGAATTGCTGCTGCCCCCAGAAACAGAAACGGTGGCCTCTGAACAACCCTTTGCTCTTATCCTGTTGATTCTTCACTTAGGCTGGGTTTGCATCTCACAAGAAGCCACGGTGGTTTCTTACTCTTGTCAGTCAGTTGTGTTTTCCAGACCCAGTTGTGATGTTTCTGTCTGGTACCTTTAGTTTCCTAAAACCACTGGGAGAGTCAACAGTTTACTTGAGGAATTCCTGTTTCACTGCAGCTTCTCGGGTCATTCAGACCCAGGATCTCCACTTACCTTACGGAGTTCCATAGAAAGAGTTGCCACCACAGAAGTGGCTGCTCAGCCATCCATTCTCTACTACTTCTAGTTCCCTAGCCACACATCCTTCATCTTGAATTCCAGTTGGCTGAGCAGGGTGCCCATCTTCCTGTTCATTTTTGGAAATGGGGAGAAAGCAGGTAAATGCGCAAAGGGAGAGGGTCTGAGAAGAATTAATTAAATATTAACAATTATTTTTAATTGTTAATATTATTTATTGATTTTATATCTTTGGCCAGGATGTCTCCAATTATATTGTTTTATATGGTTAACTGTGTATTTATTTATTGTTGTGAGCCGCCCCGTGGCTTCGGTGAATGGGGCGGCACAGAAACTTGCTAAATAAATAAATGAATGAATGAATCAGGGAAAATGAGTTGATTATGATTTAATAAAAATTTTGGGGGCTGGCATGGCTAGGAAGTGTTGCAGAGAAGCAGATACATTTGGGATCAGGAAGAGGGAGAAGCTACCTTAAAATTTCAGCAGACCAATCTGGATGGGGTTGCTGAGATGCATTGGAATCAATAGCGTAAGGAAGGAGGCTTCAATTGGGGGCTCTGCTGGGATGCATGGTGAGAACTGGAGGATAAAACTGGGAGCACAGAAACCATGTTGCCCAGGGAACCATCTGATCTTTGACCAGTAAGTTGGACAAAACTCCACCATGGAAACAGTGCAGGGCTGTTTGCTGTGACGTATGAACCCAGCCTTACACTAAACCAGGAGACTATAAAGTTTCTCAGAAATTTATCAAGGCATCATCAAATGAGAGTGTCAATCATGGTAGGCAGTGATCCCAAAAAGACAACTTGCCCAGCCATTTTCATAATTCCATGTGCTAAGAATGAGTCCAGGCTGAGTTTTGGAGTGCATCCTTAGCACACATGCACAATGGTGAGGAAAAACTGACTTTGAGTTCACTTGGGAAGGGTTCTCTGGATGTCCAGAAGTTTGAAAATCACTCCCCTACACAATCTGCATGTCACAACCAGCAGTTGTGGGTTTTGTTTTGTTTTGATCATTGTGGGCTTGTTATGCGGGCCTGTCCAAGTAGTTATATCACCGCAGCCCAGAAGCTGCAATGAGAAGCAGTGGTCTGTTGCATGTTTTGCTCTGATCTGGATGGACTCTCATGGCATCTGGACCCAGGAGCCCCATTTTTCCATCTGAGGTGAAAAAGCACCACAGAGTCCACCACTTGGCACCATACTTCTACTGCCCATGGCCCCCTGGCATCACACACATCCTCACTGATTTCTTCCTATTTGCTGAGCACCATGTTCATCACCCTGTTTGCTTTTTGAACAAGGGTAAATGCACAGACGGAGGAGGAGGAGAAGGAAACTGCAGCAATAGTACTCAATGTAACGTCAAAACAAAAAAAAAGTCATCTTTGGGGGCTGGATTGCTTAGGGAGCTCTAAAGAGACGGAGGCACAGTCAGGCAGGGGAAAGGGGGAACCTACCCGAAATCCTCAGTGGACCAATCAGGAAGATTGGTCATGCATGTTGCTGGGCTGCATGGCAAGAGCAGGAGGATGGCAGGAGGTGGGGAGAAAATGACAGAACCATCAGGGGTGTGTCATGATTTGTCCAGGAAAATATAGCAAGTTTTATTTATTTTATTTATTTATTTTTCGATTTATATCCTGCCTTTTTCCTACAAAGGGCTCAAGGCAACTTACACCATTGTCCTCCTCCATCTTATCCCCACAACAACAGCCCTGTGAAGTAGGCTGGGCTGAGAGTCTGTGACTGGCCCAAAGCCACCCAGCTGGCTCCATGGCTGAGCGGGGACTAGAACCCAGATCGCCTGAGTCCCAGTCCCATGCGCTTAACCACTATGCCACACTGGCTCTCTCACCACACACGTTCCCACCAATGCCAGCTGAGGTCGAGCTGGAGACCATGGGGACAGCACAGGTGTGTGTGGGGGGGAGAAGGGGCAGTGGAAGCAGCAGGCAGTGCTGGGTGGCCCTTGATGGCATCCCCAGTCTCTGAGGCACCACCCAAGAAGAGTACCCGATACGGCCCGGCTCCCGGCTCCTGGCAGGCTCCTTCCGAAGCGTCTCTTCTCTCCCGCCCCTCCTCGGTGGTGCTGCCGTTTCTCCCACAAGAGGCAACACCAAGTGAGGTCAAGCTGGAGGCCATGAGGAGAGTGCAGGGGGCCTTGCGCTGGTCTGCAGCAGGCGGGAAGCCGCGACAGAGACTGCAGGCAGGCGGTGGGTGGCCCTCGAAGGGGCCCGCAAGAGCCTGGTCTCTGAGGCGCCGCCCAAGAGCCGTCTCCAGATCGTGCTCACAGAGCTAGTCTTTCTGAGCTGTGCAGGTGGAGGCTTATGCTGTTTCGCACCCAGTTTCCTGCCAATGTAAGAACTCGGGATATTTGGGAAATTTCTTCAGTGTTGCAAACTAGAGAAGGGCCTTGACTCCGCCTGCCTTCCAAGGGCCTCCGAGCCCCCAGCTGCGCTTTGGTATGGTTTCTTTCCCTGTAATCTAGTTCCCAGAGAGACTCTGATTGACGCTTCCACTCTCATAAATGCTTTCAGATACAAAGAGAACATCCAGCGCCTCTCAGACCTGCACCTGGACAGACCCATCCACCCTCTGGATCTTGCCGTGCATTGGGTGGAGTTTGTGATGAGGCACAAGGGAGCGCCCCATTTGCGACCAGCAGCTCACGACCTCAACTGGATCCAGTACCACTCTATCGACGTCTTTGCCTTCCTCCTGGCTGTAGCACTGATCGCCCTGTTCATCTCAGTGAAGTGCTGCCTGTTCTGCTGCAGGAAGTGCTTCTGGAAAAGCGGGAGGCTGAGCAAGAAAAGCAAGGCAAAGGCCCATTAAAGTGAGGCAAGATGTGAAAGGGGAAGGCAGTTCAAGGGAATGGGGCCTTCCTGAAGGAGATCATGAGTGATCACTCTTAGCTTACCCCAGGGCCACTTGCCATTTTTAAAAATTTTAAGACAGCAACATACCCGGACTTACGCAAGCCGCTGTTGTGTGCACACATGCACGCACACCACTCTGACCAATGCAATCTGAACAATGTGTTCTTCGAGACCTGTGCACTTCCATGCAGATTCCACTTCTGTAGTTCATAGATGCGTTACAGAATCAATTAGCTCAGATAATTAATTATTACATAGATGTACATAGATGTGTTACAGAATCAGTTAGCTCAGATAATCAGATAGCTGGTCCTCCACTGCTGGGATGGGATTGACAAATGGGTTACATTCCAACCTAGGATCTCTTTAGCACCATCAATATATATATATATATATATATATATATATATATATATATATATATAGGCAGCTGGGGGAGGAGGAGTCTTTTAAGAGGATGTGAAAGTGTGAAGGAGAAGGCTAGTAAATGAGCATAGTGGACTATTGTACCTTTTGGACAATTTGACAGATACAATTGGTTATTCAAAGATGAAAAATCCTTTTATAGGAACACTTCTCAGCTAGTCACTCTGGAAGGAGAAGTGAATCCTCTGTGGCTGTTTGGGGCTAAAAGTGGGTTCTAGACCTGGAAAGTTTGAACTGGTGAACGCTACTCAGTTGAACAATTTAGTTGATTTTGTATCTAGGAATATGAGCTATTGGTGACGAAAATCAGTATTATCTATCAGTGTAATGTAATTGGCTCCCACTCTAGGTGCTTTCAAAGTACAATTGACTTGAAGACAGCCTTTGCTGCCATTTCAACTGTTTAGTGCTCTTCATTTAAATGAATTAATTTAGGAAATCCTGAAATGTGCACAAGAAGATGTTAACAGAGACTTTTAATAAAAGAACAGCATAGAAAAACTAGAAATAAATAAATAAATAAATAAATAAATAAATAAATAAATAAATAAATGGTGCTAAAACAGCCTTCTGTTTCTTTTCTTCATTACAGCCATGCTGTGGCAGTCTTTACTTTGTCTCCTCTAATATCATGAGCACTGACATCCACACTAGTGGATGAGAGAGACATTTCAGAAGCGCTCTGTGATGGCTAGGGAAAAGTTGAGGGGCACTAATAAAAATAAACCCTAAGTAAAGTGAGGGGACAGTCAACCAGGAGGTACAGCACAATTTCTTTTATGCCTAGCCTCCCCTGCTAGATTGACCTTTCTTTGTTTCCCTTTCTGTTGCAGCCGCTAGGAGGGCAAACTGCTCTGCCAGCCCCATCCCATTCGAGCCAGGTGTGCCTGGTTTGGACCGCTTCTGCCCACAGGGATGGAATGGCAGTGGGCACGCGCCCACAGAGTTTCCTGTAGGGGGTGGACCACCCTCCCCCGAGTGCCCCTCCACTAGCAAGTGGGGCACTCACACTCACTCTGGGACACCCTCTTTGGTGTTTCTGCAGTGCGTGGGGGCTCAAAGGGCTTCACAGAAGCTCTCCTGCTGGGCTCCTGACAAACTGTGGTTGGCCACCAGTGTTCTTATGCATCCACTGCAGATGGGTGCATCCACAAGGCCACCTCCTCACCCTTTGACAGCAGCTTCTCTTCAGGAAGCATTTGTGAGTTTCTCCTGAATGGTAGTTTGCAAGGGCTTTATAAAACCTCCTCCTCCTCCTCCTCCAGGGCCTCCCCTGTGCTTTTGAAGGATTATTCCACGGTTTTTAGGATAAGGATAATAAGCTTTTACTTACACCTTAGAACTTGCACCTGTGTTGTTGCAACTGTACTATGCTGCAGCACCATCTTGTGGCAGTTGTACAAAGCGCATCGGAAGGCAGAGAAAATAAAATTCAGCAGAAAAGTGCTTGGGAAAGATGGCTTGGTAAAATGTTGGGTTACATGCCTCATGTCGCGAAGCCCTTCTAGAATCATAGAATAGTAGAGTTGGGAGGGGCCAAGAAGGCCATCAGGTCCAACTCCCTGCTGTTGCAGGACACCATGTTACACCATCCTGCTCAGATGGCTGTCCAGTTTCTTTTTGAATGTCTCCAGTGTGGGAGAGCCCACCACCTCTCTAGGCAGCTGGTTCCGTTGTTGTATTGCTCTGACAGTGAGGAAGCTTTTCCTGATGTCCAGTCTGAATCTGGGTTGTCACAAGTGAATTGATTATTCTGTGTCCTACATTCTGGCATCAGCAAGAAGAGATCTTGACCTTCCTCTTTGTGACAGCCTTTGAGATACTTATACAGGGATATCATGTCCTGTCCCCCTCCCACCCCTCTCCACCCTTAGTCTTCTCTCCTCGAGGTTGAACATACCCAGTTCCCTCAGTCTCTCCTCATAGGGCAGTGTTTCCAAACCCTGGGTCATTTTTGTCACCCTCCTCTTGACCCTTTCTTAAATCTGCCCAGAACTGGGCACTGTATTCCACATGAGGTCTGACTAGTGAGAAGTATAGGGGAACTGCTACTTCTTGTGATTTGGAAGTAGTACTTCTGTTAATGCACCCCAAAATAGCATCTGCCCTTTTGGCAGCTGCATCGCATTGTTGACTCGTGTTTAGCCTATTGTCCACAATTACTCCAAGATCTTTTTCAGTTCTGTTGAGGGATGTATTCCCCCTCTTGTATCGATGCCTTTGGTTTCTTTTTCCTAGGTGAAGGCCTTGGCACCTGTCCTTATTGAATCTCATTCCGTTGCTTTCAGCCCAGTGTTCAAGTTTATCAAGATCGCCCTGAATCTTCCTTCTGTCTTCTAGGGTGTTTGATATTCTGCCCAGTTTTGTATCATCTGCAAATCTGATTATCTTTCCTTGTACTTTCTCAGCTAAATCATGAATAGAGATGCTGAAGAGCACTGGGCCCAGGACTGAACCCTGTGGCACCCTGCTAGTCACCTCCATCCATTGATGAGCACTCTTTGTGTTCAATTTAGCAACCAATTTGGGATCCACCTAATGGTCTTTCCATCTAGTCCAGTTTTTGCTACTTTGCTTATCAGAATGTTGTGTAGCACTATGTCAAAAGCTTTGCTGAAGTCTAGGTAGATTATGTCCAGTGTTCCCTTTGTCCATTTGGGAGGTTACTCAGTCAAAATATGAGATTAAATTAGCATTCCTGATGCTATTCCTGCAATTCCTTGCTATTTGTTTACAATCTTCCTTCATGGCCTGGCCCTGCTTCCACTTCTTGTACATGTTCTTTTTTTTCTTTTTTCTTTTCCTTTCAGGCTGTCAATTCACCTTCTGTGGAGCCACATGGGCTTCCTCTGCCGTCTTCTACACATTTTTCTGGATGGAATTGCTAGTAGTTGTTCTTGGAAAATCTTCCTTTTCAAGATTTCCCACCTCTTTTGGACACCTTGCCCCTTAAGGGTGTGTTGCCATGGCATTTCACTTATTATTTTTTTGAGTTTGTTAAAGTTGGCTTTCTTGAAGTCCAGGGTGCTTGTTTGGCTCCAGTTACCCTTTATCTCTCTCATAATTGAGAATTCAAGTATTGCATAGCCACTTCCCCGCAGAGTTCCTGTGGTTGTTAATTTGTCCACCAGCCCATCCCTCTTAGTTAGTATTAAATCGAGATAGCTGATCCTCTCGTACCTTCCTCTACTTTCTGCTGGAGAAAGTTTCTGGCAACACCTGTCAGGAATCTCTTGAAGGGGTCATGCTTGGCAGAATTTGTCTCCCAGCATATATTGGGGAAATTGAAGTTCCCCCATCATGACTGCATCATTCTTCTTGGGAATGCTAGAACACTTTGTTAGAACACTTTGTTAGCTGTGGCACTGCACCAGTGCAGCAGACTTGTGGATGACAGTGCCGAAGAAGTTATAACCAGGCGGGCAGCAACTGTTGACAGAAACAGCAGGATGCTATCCAGGCCAGCAGCGAGCAAGCCCTCCTCACCCACAATCTCAAGCACAGTTACTAGTCGTATAAATCATTCTCCCAACTGTATTTGATGCAACCTCAAAGCGAGAACATTTTAGCATGGTGCAATGATAGTAAATGGAGTAGTGAATTAACTCTGCTGATCTTTGTAACAGGTATTCTGCAAATAAATATCCAGTAATAGTGAATGCTTCTTATTTTGTTCAAGTTGAGAGGGCTGGGATGGATCACACATGCTGCCGTGTGGAATTCGGAAGCTGGAAGCATGTGGCTAAATGATGTTGCCCCTTCCTTTTCTGGAAGCAGAGGTAGCCAAATGGATGCAGTCTATCATGGCTGTTTAAACTGCTGAAAGTTTGTCATTTTTATTAACTGCCTGGAGAACACTATTAATGAGGTAACACTATTAATGAGATTTACACTATTAATGACAGCCAGTGTGGTGTAGCGGTTAAGAGTGTTGGACTGGGACTCAGATGACCTGGGTTCTAATCCCCACTCAGCCATAGAGCCGACTGGGTGACTTTGGGTCAGTCACAGACTCTCAGCCCAACCTACCTCACAGGGTTGTTGTTGTGGGGATAAGATGGAGGAGGAGCTGCCTTGAGCCCTTTGTAGGAAAAAGACAGGATATAAATTGAAAAATAAATAAATAAATAAAATAATTGAATAGCATATAAATAATGTATGTACATAATGTGCAACTCCAGTTGGTGCAAGGTTGCAGATTCTAGTTCATATGTTGAGAAAAAAAGCATGAGAAACTATTCCCCTTTCCAGCTGAAAACAAGCACTATGTGTACAAATGTTACCCAAATATCATTGCCACTTATTGATTAGTCTCAGTGGTACTGCTGGTGACACATACCTGCGCAATTTTATGACTTCAGAACAAAAGTTTGCCTCATTTTGTTTGTTTTGTTTAGTCTTGTGTAATCAAATCCAGAACGAGGAAAAAAACAACCCATGGGTATCCTCCATTCCTTGCAACGTGTCACCAACCGAATGCACCATATCATACTTCTAGTAAGGGAGTTGGGTCATGGCACCCTCAGTCCTAGGAAAAATAGCTGGTATCCAAGGCCGATGGGATCTTTGCCAGCTTGACACAGTTGATGAAGCTGTAACACTTTCCGGATGCTTTATCTCACATAAATATGAATTTAATCTGCTGTAATTGCATTGGCACATTGGAAGAGACCGCAAGCTCTTTTGAAAACCTCTTTTGGGGAATCAAATCAACCGTTACTTTAGTAATGTTTAAAGGAACATGCCCTACCCTGCTGCATTTAATGCATTCTCATAAGTAAATTGGGGAAACCTGGTGGCTTGAAAATTGTATGAAGGTGAGGTCCAGCAACAACATATACACACATGATGATTTTTCCCATATAGTGGGAATCAAATGGTATGAGGTTGATCACCCAAAGTCGTTGAACACAAATTGGTCTTAACACTCATTGCTCATTGTCAAACTTCAAAATAAATAGGTCTCACAAGTGTTTGTCCCTCATGTACTGGACTCCTTTTAGAAATTGTAGTTTCACATAAGAGTCATTTTACAGAAACAGCAATATACATTTTTTCGAAGGAGCATGCTTGAAGCATTCTGTGGAGGTCTGACACGAACCACTAATGTTCAGTGACTTAATCAATCAATCAAAGTATGCTAGCTAGCATTTCTGTGTCGGTATTGGCCCCCCATTATCTTCCGCAAGCATAGCTGAAAGTGTTGGTTGCTGACCTATGAAATGCTGAATGCCTCGTGTCTTAAATAACACCAAGTCTGCTGCTTGCATATCATCCTATGATGTCCTTTATATTATGCTTAGAAGGTGCAAGTCTTCTTCTTTCATTTGATAAAACTTAGATTATTCGTTTGGTGCTGATGAGACCATGCAGGCATGGTACTAATGTTTTTAACAGATGCGTAAGGAAGATCCTGCTTCAGAACAGAAGACTGCACTTTAAGATCTTCAAACCTTTTGCAGACCTTGGATTGGAAAATATCTGCAAGATTTCATAATACTCCAAAGTGCCTGGT